ATATGAGTTTGTCAGTTCAGATCTCAGTGGGTCATTTCACAGAAAGATAATCAAACTCAGTGTACATAAAAATGATTTGCAAAACCATTCTCCATTTTTGTTGTGATGTTAACTAAAGTATTGCACGTGGTTGTATAATAATGCATATTGTATCCATGATTGCATTATAATTGGTCATAAAAATCTATTATTTTAAATATTGCATGTTATTTTAAAACAACATTTCATGCATATGTAAAAGTATAGGCCTACAACATTTTTCTACCACCTCCCCTTTAGTTGAGTCGGTAAAAGACTCGGATCAACGATCACTGTGGTTAAAACTTAATAAAATTAGTATGCATAGGATTATACTTAGGCATAGGTAGGCCTAAGTACAAATTGGTTGGTCTTTTTCCATGTTTAGCCTTAGTGGGTCATTTTAAGCTAGGCCTATTTCCTCTACGAAAATATGAAATCTCCGTCACTGACTACATCATTAGCTTGATGCCTATTAAAAAAACGAGTGTTAAGTTTTAAAATCAAAATTCATCCAACATTCGTAGTTTCCTGGGGCTTCGTCCCCCTGGACCCCCAGTGGGAGTTCTAGGTAGCCCTCAGCCTAAATGCCCACTTCGCTTGTTTAGCCCCGGTTGGGGCCTTCCCCTCCATCGGGCAGATCCTTTGGCCGTCACTGCGCGGCCGAACTTGAAATATCGAGCGCGCTATCACGAGTATAATTAATTATTTATTATTCGCTTCAATATATGGTAAAAAAATATTGTTTACATTTAAATGCCTCGGGGCTCATGTAGGCCTGTGTAGTACTTATAATAAAAATAATAACTACCATAGCAATTAATTTTTAACAAACTTTTTTAAAAGTTGATTTTGTAATGTAAAATAATATTTTTTTTATTGATTGTTTAGCATGTTATATGCAGTGTAGCACGTTCTGCGCGAAAGATATTCCAGGTAAGATTGAATTATTTTATTTTTTGTACATAAGTTTTACTTCCAATTGAAAATTTAAAATATATTATGAAATAGATAATTATTTTGCCACAAGTTTCTGATAATTTTTGCTGGTAATTGTTCTGATTTTTTTTTGTTTGTTATTAGGAATGACAAAGCCACCAGTGTCAGCTGCGTGTTCCCCTTGCGAGTGTCCCGTCCGACCACTCTGTAAGTCCGCTATGTTCAATTCTGTTCTTCTAAAAAATGTAATTTGTTTTATATTAAGTATAGTACGTTCACTGTTCATAATGAAAATCCTATTAATAAGTTATTTGTAATATTCATAATAAAATAGGGGTGTGTGACGTAGCATGGGATTTATCCCATGATTTAATCTGGGTTATTCGTGAATTTGCTATTTCTAATCATTATGGCCATGTATGCAGGTCAATGAAATTGCCCTATTTTATATTGAGTCAGTGGTGGTTCTTGTTTTTGAGACTTGTCACTTATTATTTATCTTTACATGTCATTTGTGGGGACCAAAGGGAAGTGACTGGGACCAGTTCCTAAACAAGATGATAAATGAGAAGAAATTGCATGGGAACCAAAAAGATGTGGTTAGAATTGGAATGTAGATCAAATATTGGGATGTTTCTTTAATGGTTGCTTTTAGGATAATAATGGAAGTCGGTGGGCACTTGGACACCTAAGCTTGACCCAACCAAGTGGGACTTTGGTGGGTTGTATAGTTTTCATGTACTCTGAGTGAAATAACAGCCAAGTGGGACTTGGGCTGCACTTTGTACATTTTTTACTATATTTCTAAACACTGCATGTAGAACGTTACGCTACACCGTCTATGTGTATATCATTGTGATTGCTTCCGGACTGGCCTACTGGACTTCGTCACAGGGAGTTTATAGGTTTGGCCCCCACTCCATTCCTGCTTCCACTTTATTATTAATAGACATTTCGGGAGTGTCAAATAACAATTGACCAAAAGCGAGTAATATGCACATGCCCCACAACGTGTTAACGTACATTCACGCCGTCCATTCTCATTATAAATAAGAAATCAAACAAAGTTTTTGTATCTGCCTCAGAATAAAATATTTATTGTACTTGAAATAAATCGTTGTCGGCGCGCCAACAACCATTAATGTTGAAAGTCAGACATCATTCTACTTCCATCAGAAATGTCTGATCGAAAATGTCTGTAGAGTCTAACATCAAAACCAGAGACTCTACGAGAACAAGGGAGTGCGTTATATATTATAGTTTTGCAGTCTTGATTCGTTTAGAAGTGTTGATTAATAGGACCTAAAATACTTCCCAGCACATCAGAAATCTATCAAGCAAAAAGGCTTTGACATCATCTATAAGTAGGCCTCAATTTGATGTGGTTGACTGATGGTGGGGTGAAGTGGGGGTGGGGGAGGCTCAATTCGATATACCACATCGTCGTTCTCTGCTTTCTCTGTCCATTTTGTCGTCGGTCAGATTGTTCAACCTAAAGCTCATATGGGGTGCGATATCAAATGTACCAAACATCATTCCCTCTTTCTTTTTACTTTCTTAATATTTTTTGTAGATTGCGAATCTTGTACGAAAATATGCGGTAGCTCGACCTATATGATGAGTAAGTAGTAAACCACTTTTTAAAAAATCTATTAGGCCTATTATTTGAAAGAAAAAAAACCGCGTCTGTATAACAGGAGGTCTTGAGTTCGAATCCTGGTGGGGGACCTATTTGTTCACTTTCACAGATTCCTCTTCTTTAACGTTTCAAATTTATACTGTTGATTATCAAATTTGTCTTTACAAAATTTTATCCAGCCCTTGTTTTCATATAT